CCGCTTTAGTCGAGTGGATAGCATTGCGTACTGCCATTCGGACGGCTCGGGTTCATATCTCCGTGCGACCAACATCCAAAAATTATAGAAAATTAATTTAAATAAGAAAATAAGGCCGAAAATCGCTTAAGCGGCTACAAAGCGCCAATTATATAAAATTATATTGGTATCATTGGTGTCTAAAACCAAGCCGCCAGTTCTGCTTTCTTCAGACTGGATTAGGAAGCGAAGCGTCTGGGACTGGCAGTGAGCAAATGTAAGACGAAATATCTCGTGTCATCCAAAAAATAGTCATCGTATTCGCGACTCGCCTCCTACGTCACTGTTAACCGTCAAACTTTGAAGTCGTAGATAACTGCCACATGACCAACAAGAATTAAGTCTGAAAGAGTCATGCGAGCACACACAACTAACTCCTACTTGCTTTAAGCTCAAAAACACAGTCAGAGCAGAGTCGATTTGTGTATACTGAAAATGAACTCACTGTAGCTCTCCTTAGCTCCCGCCGCCGCAAGATGTATGCCTAAAATTAGAGTATGAGGTCCCTATCGAAAATTGTGATCTTGGATAATATAATGCTTGGCTTCCTCGCTTGCTCTCATGACGTTATGCAAATAGATAAGAGTATGTAAATGGAACATAATTCACCGGCTAAATTTGGCATTTACTACACAAACAAATATTATAAAATTAATTGTATGCGCGTATGCTGAGAAAAGCAAACTTATAAGCAAGCTTAGGAAGTAGCAAGACAAAATGCCGAAGCAAAGTAATTATGTAGAAGTAGAATTGAGGAGGCATAAGGAGCAAGCCGCTGTTGGTAGACTGAGCATATCATGGATGAGTGGGAATTGGTATTAGTTACTTCTTTTTTCGTTTTTCTCCTTTCGACTTTGTCAAGGCAATTCCTATTAATGGTTAGGATTAGTAAGAGCAATATCGGTCGCATGATGATGTGAGTACGTACAACAATCAAAACAATTGAATATTTAAGAAACACATCTGTATATGTACATATGAACGGCTAAATATATTCATAGGGTGTACACACGCCCTGCTGGAAAGCAATTTCATATCAAAACTTAAATTGCATGGAAAGAGATAAAGAGTAATGTGAAGAATTGTGGGAAAAGTTTCCTTTGCGATGAAATCAATTATGGATAATAATTGTCTTTGGAGTCGATCTCTCTCATTTCACAATATCCAAAATGGGGCAGATCTCCTTTGAATTATTAAAAAACGCTGCCCATAATTTCCGACGTGGTGGTTTGCTATCTAAACTACGAACCCTTAGCAAATGTAAGCATATGAGAGGAAACCAAGCATACTTTTAGGGTTCAGCCAATACTTAAATGTGCCAACGTTGATTATATTATGGAGACTCACTGTGTTTCCTAATGTTCAATGTTATTATTTCTACTTCCCATGGCAAGCGTTCTCGTCATCTTGCCGCAACACATGAGCACGGCTGCGTATGTCCATAAGAAATTAATATATTGATATTAATGCTTAACTGACCTCCTTACATAAATGTTTTACTGTATGAAGTGTTGCTCTCGTAGGAAAATCAAAGCATTCACTCGCTCTTCGATTGTGTAAGAAAACGAAGGCATCTTAAGTTGACGCAAATTGATATGGAGTTGAACTCCAGGACAAGTTCCAACGGCTTCATTATTGTTACTGCTGCTGCTGCTGTCGTTGGTGCTGCTTAATGTTGTAGGACTTTTCAATTAACAAGTGAATTAAGTATGGCTAACGTGCAGGATTATTCGTCCCACTGTCCTCAGGCAATACTCACACACTTAATTATAACTAAATTGTCAACGACTCTGCTTACATAGGCGGCATACCCAGCAGGCACTAGGGTGGTTCATATGTTTGGGATTTTCTTGTATTCTGCATGCAGAGTACTCCTCAGGCATAAAAAGCATTCTTGAGGTTTTCAGCCGATTTTAATGCTTCTACTACTGGGGCCAATTCAAGAAGATGAATCCGTTGAACAGCTCTTCGAACGTGTGTTGCACATATAATCTATGGGTATAGAGCTAAAAATTACCAGAAGCTCTAGACCTTTTTAGGTTTATATGGCGGAATAAGCAAAACATGTCGTCAGCATCAAAGGTATAAACATTACCTAACGTAACATAACTCGGTATAGCACAATATAATGTAAAAAGTTTAACATCCACAGCGGTATCACGATGGATCAGCAGACGCAGCAACTCAACTCGACTCAATACATTCATAAAAATTATCAAAAGATGCATCAGCTATATACTGATTAAATACTAGTTCGTTTGCCATTTAGCAATAACAAAAATCGCTCACTTTGACATTCGAACGGCTGCCAATTGATTTATCGTGACTATATACATACATATTTATATATAATTGGAGCTCCTAGTCCAATTTGAAAATACGAGTTTAAAACTAAAATTATTCCAAGCCAACGTCGCATTTCAACGCAGGACATAATACTAATACCCATCACAAGATTAAACATAGACATATGTACGTACATACATACATATATAGAAACATACGACACGCACAACGTACTTTGCTAAGTCCAATTAATTTTATTACTTATTACAATTGTCAATTGCCATTTGTAGCACAGATTGAGTTGTTAGATACTCCATAAGGCGGTATTAACTTCTCCCGAAACTATAATCTGCTAACTTAACTGAACTGAAGGCACAGGCAAGGCAAGGTATACTCGTATATACATACATATTCGTACATAGATGTAGGAATAGATTTATAAATTAATACACATGAGTAAAGAAAAATTTTCCATGTTTTCCATGCATAAAGATTATGCAAGTATATAACATATGTATGTATAGTTGTGTACATATACATATGCATTCCGCTATGCTACCCAATACATAACTAAAATGTTTCTGCCAATTAATTAAATGTAGCAGTCACATTTACTCGCTCAAGCTGAAATGTTGTTGCTTTTATCAGCATTGAGTTGTTATAACAACAACTTTGAGCAAAAATGCGTTCGAGTGCCGCAGCTCAACTTTTATAACTATTTTATTTGTTAAAGTGTATGGAATAGGTGGAACGGATGAAAAGGTGCGTGAGTGAGTGCCAAGTCCCGCACACACACACACACACACACACACACACACACACACACATGCATGTACACAAGCCGCCCACGAGTACGCTTATGAGCTTCAATGGCAATAATTAACCAAGGCATTTAGGTAAGCTAAGTTGACCGAATGACCAGAAAAGGACTAAAAGGACCAACTTTCTTCTTCATCGCCAACCTCCTGTCAATATGGTGAACTTATAGTGACATTAAATTCTTCCAAATAACTTAATTCTTTACCATCCGCCATAATTAAATTAAATTAGTACACTTTAGCGAATAAAATGGAATTAAGGCGTGAGAATAGATGAAAAGCGGAAAGTGGAAAGTGGAAAAGTTTCATACATTATGCCTGAGACTACGAAAACGCAGCTACTTTTGTGAAGTGTGAATTAATGAAATTTGAAAAAAGAAGTTAAGAAACTCCGCGGAAACTACAATGGAAGGAAATATTGTCACACTTTCCTCACCCTCGTCCATTCTTTACACTGCCTTTTTAAAGTTGCTCCTTTAACGATTTCCCTTTCATTAACAAAGTGGATAAAAAACCAGCCAAATTTAAATCATTTTAATAATTAAATCAGATTAAATTTGGTGAATATGCTACGCACGGGTGTGTGCGCCCTTACTGAGTGCTGAGTTAAGTAGCTTTGCCACAAGCTTAATCAACCAAAGCGGCTCGTTACTCAGCTGGCTACTGATGCAACTCAAAGCACTGTCATAAGACTCGATTGTCCTTCAGCAACAGCGTCATACGAGATTGCTTGAATACGTATTTGTGTACACACATATATGTATACACTTATGGTCGAATGCAACCGACTCCAAGACAAGCTGCTATCATTCGCCTCTCTTGGGAGATATACCAGGAACAGATTGTATAACTCTGTCTTCAGAAATCTGCCTATATAGCTGTCCTGGATTGTCCTATGACTTGTTCTTGGAGTAAAGCAAGTGCTTCTGGTTGAGTTTGGTATTTAGACTGGGCTTTTCAGTGCTTCCTTTAATCGATGTCTTAGCCGAGAAAATCTCGTTTGCTTCATAGGTCCAGCTCTTCGACATAACGAATGAAAAAACTATTCAACTGAACCATGGAAACTTTTTTAAGTGTCAATTTGACGTCTCAATTGGCCATGAAAAAGGAAAATAGAAATTTTTTTCCTTCTTGAGCATTGGTGGGGTAAACAAGAAGGATTACTTGGCTAACAAAACTGAAAAACCCAGCCTTTTTATTGGTTGATTGGAATAAATCTAACAACAAATAGCCAAGAAGGGATGGAAGATAAATTTAAATGTAGAAAGGGGATGGATAATAAAACGAATTCGAGCATACTTCTGAAGGCTTACAAATCCTTTATTTTGCAACAAAGAGTGTTACTAGTCTCCGAATAACATTATAGAGACTTAAAGGGTATCCTAAAGTGGACAGCAGGTAAATGAAAACTGCAGTCACATGTATTTCTGTAATGGATTGCAAGGCAATCAAAGTAGAAGAGGATGCATCTGACCTATAACATCAACATAGAAGACAAAAGACGTTCAGAAACAAGTATTTCGCAGATATCAAAAACTTAGAGAAGAACAGAGTCGGATTATTGACCGAGATGTCAACTATGGTACTTGATGTGAGGAATGACACAGCGTGTCTCATCGCATCTACCTGACGGCAAGGACAACTTGTCTTGTGGGAAGGTGTTTTGGAGCTTTTTGCTTAGAGCTAAGTGTATTGACATTGCCTTCCGAGGAGTAATCGCATTAATTTTAGTTTGCACAGTGCTCGAATTAAGAAACTGGTGATGGGTACTATTTCGGGAGAACCCGGCTGGCTAACCTTTGGAAAAGAAGAACCGATTAGTCTGCTGTTCCAAGAATGAGATGAATCCAATGTGAGTACGTTGCTTTAGAAAACTTACCTTTCAAATTTATTGGTTATAAAATAAAAGTTCTTAAATAAATTTTTTATGCTGTAAAATTCATAAATATTTCCCTCAGGCAAGACTTTGCTCGTTACATTTTCCTCGTATTCGTAGATAATTAGTGTTTTCAAGTTTGCGCTGTCCTTTTTTCATACATTTCATAGCTTTTCTAAGGCAATCCCCGTCCTGGTCATCGTTTACGGACCCTTTATAACGGACTTCAACTTTATGCAGTGTGAACTGCACTCTCTTACAGCGCACCGCCAGCGCCATCACAAGACAGTAAAGCAACATGTGCAGCGTTTTACAGCGCAGCAAATAGGGCACCCCCTCACCTTTGCGGAAGAGTGGAAAATCTCTGCTTTGGCAATCGTACATGAAGTAGTCCCCGCCAACGCAACCATTACAGTTATCCCGTCCGATGACCACTGCACGCTGATGACGGCAATGCAAGAGACCCACTCTGTACTGACTGAAAAAAGTGATCAGTCCCTTGGCCAAGTTCATTATTGGCGAGTTATTTTCCTCATAGAGTGCGCCGAAGGCGATCAACTCGGTATGTACCTTGAACTGAAGATTCTCCAATTTGCACGTATCCTTGAAATCATTCAACGTAAAGAGGTATTCTCCAGGGTCGAAACTCCGCAAGCTATTACGATAATAATTATCACCATTAATGATAATCGCATCCATAAGGCGTGGCGTCCAATGTGCCAGCGGATAGAGTGTCGCTGCACAACAAGCCATTATGCTGCATGCCCAGGACTGTTTACTACATGCGTTTAGGTTAAACATTTTATCAAGCGGATGCAGATAACCCCATAGGGACCATAACTCTCGGGGTATTTCAATGTCGTAGACACCACTTTTGCTTTCGGGTCTGTCGCGCAGTACCCTGCCGGCATTGTAACGGCTCAAACGGCTCCACACCGGCGGATAACCGGGCACACTGAGCCAATAAAGCACTTCGGCTGGCAGCCAATCCGTGGCGCAGTCCCAATCGTTTTTCTTACAACGTCGAGACATGGGTTAATAAATATAAATGTACAGTTATAGTTGGTGTAGCCAAATCAATACTTTTTCTGAAAATCCGAGAAATGGCTATGGATGTTTTGAGCTCCTGAAATAAGGCTAAGTTTGTTGCTTTCTGCTTCGCGTACGCAATGTGGTCCAATAACTATAATTCCATGATTTGATTTGTTTATAATTTTGAATTTAGTTTCTGCCAAAAATATTTTATTTTCTGCTATTCTAATCAAAAATGCTGAACGCTGAAGTTTTAATTGTGAATAGCCACAAACTGTTCCTTTTTTATTCCATTATTACTAAGAAAAAAGGGTTTCCGCACAGAATTTGATCGAATATGAATATATCTTTGGCCATCCGACGAGATCTTAGCAAGCTGACTGAAGCTGATCGGCTTCACTGTGGCATGCTAGGCGAAACGACTTGAAGCCAGAGTGTGTTCTTCTCTATTCAAAAGAAGGAGAACACCACTGGGTCACGTATGAAAGTCGCCGTCAACGTAAAATTCCCCCACCAAATGTTATCCAAAAATAAAGATTTGGCTGCTTCTTCCAGTTGCTTTTTATTTATATGTGCATATATGTATATATTATATAATATATATATATATATATAATATGTAGTCAACATCGCCAAAACGAAATTGTGCGATAAACATCTATCTTTATGCTGAAAACTTGTTGCTAAGATCACTTCTACAATGAAAACAATTCAGCTATAAATCTTATCATCATTCTGTATAAACACAGATGTACGTAGTCTCCACACGCTAACTCACTGATATACATTTACAAAGCTAATTCAACCTTCTACTATTCCAATTTCAAGGCGTATGATTTGAGATATTCATGTGGTTGCGGGGGCTTGTAGACCACCTTTCCCTCGTCATCTAGATAATCAACATACTTTATAATATTCACACAATCCATGCCGAGTCGTTCACATAGCTTTGCAGAGTAAAGACTTGTGCAGTCCACAGTCAATAGCGGATAAGCTAATTGACGAGCTAACTTCTCAGCTTCCTCTACGAGCCTCGCACCAATCGCACGACCACGCAGACTTCCATCCACAGCAATAGCATGTATATGCAGAGCCTGCTCCACGCCATAACGCTCAAACACATTCGAACCTCGTTCGGCACGCGCTAATATCTGTAGAATCATACCCCAATTGGTGGAACCGCATCTTGAGGTCTCTTTACTCAAATGCTTAACCTCTTTGTTAGACCTCGGCCCAGACAACAAAACGCCCACCATTCGTTCACCATCGTCATGCTGCTGCACGGCCTTAATGCAGGTGGCATTCTGGATTTGCGCTAAGGTGAACTCCTCATCTTCGGGATCTTGATGACCCTCTTTACTGCCTACGATTAACGGTTCGTCTGGATAGAAATGTTTACGTAGAAATTGTAAGACTTCATCGCTGTCCTGCTTCTGCACTATGCGAAAGTGTATGCCATCATCCGCTTGATTTCTCGCAATTGGGCCGCCAGTCATTTCCCCTTGAATTCCAACACTCAAATGAAACCAATGTGCTTATTGTTGGAAATTTGAAGACCTTGTCGTTGGTGTCAGTAATTTCGTGTGAATTTTCGTATTCCTGATACTGCCGTATTTGATAAGATAACAGCCAACTCTGAATTCGCTGCTGCCGCCCTTCGGCTGAGTGGCGCGTTTTATGGTAGAAGTTGTTGGCAGATAAAGCCGTGGAAACTAAATATTTCCATTCATGAAAATTACAGCAGCCACGGACGAGGGAAGGGAAAAGCCTTTAAAAATCAGGGTTCCCTCTAAACAAATTTAATATAACTTTTTAATTGTAATATTCTCTTGATGGATGACCCACTTTGTGAACCAGAAATCTCTGTCTTTGCCACCGGAATTTCGTTTGTACTTTAAAAGCTTGAATCCAAGAAGATGGAATATTTACTTCAACGGTTCTTTTAAAGGAAATGTGAAATGTGTTTAGGCCTATGGCCGCAGTGCAGATCTCATGCTCGATATCTGTCAAGGAATATACTCAGTCGAGTTGAAACTAAAATATAAGAATCGCGTTTATAACCGCGTTTTATGAGGGTTTATAAATAAAAACTGTAATAAACTACTTTCTTGTAAAGCCAACAAATAAACGTTTATAGTAATTGTAGGCGGTGGGAAGTGAGTTCTAACACCTCGTAGACAACATCCAACGGTAATAAAACGAAAGTGTCATTTGATTACCAACAATGAAGTGTTTTTGTATCATAAAATTCTCAAAACGCTATTAAGGTACTAAATATAATTTGTGCTGTGATTTTGGAGATCGAGCGCTAGTCGAGCAGCAAAAGTAGTTTTTATTTCTGCGATACGGTTGGAAATCTGTTTATACCCTATAAGGGTAAGAGTTCCAGTTGGCTGATGGTTGAACGACTTTCTTGGATCCCTTAAATAAAATGTAGAGCTTTAGCACTGATTCCACCAAGAAGCTTTCTGAGCCCAGACTCTGTCGTAAAAATATCGTAAAAAAAACTAAAAACAATTTGCAGTTGACCTAAAATAACACTTTGAAAAACGGCTGTAGGCTTATTCGTCTTTCTTCTTCAACTTCCTTCAAATGCAGACTACCTCTTGGCTGTAACGGTGCTAGACTGAATACATATGTACTCATATGTATGTATGTTTATGCTAATTTGGCATGTATTTTCGAAAATTTATGTTGAGCCAAAGCTATGATTGTCGCATATTTTTTAATCTATATATATATTTATAACAAAGCGCAATAAAATTTTCAAATATTTCTTGGCCTTTAGATTTTTTCTTTTTGAATTTGTTTAGACTAATTTTAAATGTACATACTTGTATACATATCTATATTTATAGTAGTCTTTGTTCAAATGCATGTTACATTACATATATATAGGTATATATGAGTGTACATATATTTGTGTGTACATATGTGTGCTTTATGCAGGTGGTAATAACTGCACTTAGCATCTACTTTTATTCATCTTTTTCGCGTAGAATTATTATCAGCACGAAGTTTCATTATTTATGAGACGATAAATAATTCAGCAACGTTATATAATTTATTTACATACTTACGTAAACCATAGAGCAAGCCGAATCATTAATTTGTCATCATCACACAAAACGAGAAGTTTTATAAATGCAATTTACATACATAGTGTATGTTTGTAGGTATTATTGCCTAAAAATTATACTAAATTGTTAGACCTATTATACCCGGCTGGTTAGTACTTGGAGTAGTGAATGGCTGAATTACGGTATTTATGAAAAAGTGTTATTATTTATTGGAAATATAATAGATTCTTCTAGGCCTTGATGGAAATGAGCTGGCTTAACCCCTTCTGCCTTTCCTCCGATAGATTACCACCATGAAATACTGAGCAATTTTGTAGAGTTCAGGAAAGGAGTAATAACTCTCCGAAGCTGTTCTCCGTTTGATAGGAACTCAGTTTAAATTTAAATCAGGTCCTTCATAGCCTTTGGCCCCACATTAGTTAGCTTTATCGCAACGGTCACTCGGGCGTGCAACTTGTCGACTGAATTAATACGTGCGAGTATTTGTTACCGACGCACAACTGTATATATATTACCGTTTTTTCATTTTTGATCATTTTTATCATATTTATATCTTCTTTTCTGCGGCTTTGTTGCACTCTTGGTATTCAACGCTCCCCTACTGTGCAGCAAAGAGTGAAGAAATGGAATTGTGTGCGCAACTTTCAACGCTCTCAAATAACTGCCGACGCACTCGCCCGTATGGTATGACAAAAAAAATGGAAGGCAGTAGAAATGGTTTCTTAAAGCTTTCCATGCGCCGTTCAACAATGAGAAAATGGCTGCATATTGTTTACTGCCAATATTGCAACAGCTCCTGCTGTGCGGCTCGGATGTAGTGAGAGAAAAAAGATGTAGAAACCAAGAAAAAAGGAATAGAGTTTCACGAGGTTACAGCCTAGTGCTGTCAGTAAGGCGCAATTTTGGCTTCTGTTAAAGATTTATAGCGATTACAGAACACTTGGCAAGGTCCCATTGCTCATGTGCGGTCTTTTATAAGTTGTATGCAAGTATGTGTGTGTTAGTTAAAACTAGATTGTTTATACCACCCAGTAATAAAATGGGCTGGGGCACAACCAACAAGTAAATTTTTAACAAATCACCTGCTAGCATTCCCACAGCTTCACAAGCCCACAGAAAGACGCTTAATTTTTCTAAAATTAATAGTATTTTTAATCATAAATTTATTGCTTTCGTTTGATTCATTTTAACAACATATTCTGTAAATTTATATAGTAAGGGAAAAAGTAGTTGTATTTTACTAAAGAGTACAACACACAAATCTTTAATCGAAATACATTTCCTATATATACACTTAAATCTCCATGAAAAAATTTGTAGAAAAATATATGTTACTCTTCTTAAAAAAGAGTGGCTTAAATATGCTGTAGAGCATAATACGAAGTACTCTGCGCGAATGATTCCTCATGTCTATTTTAAGCGATGAAATTTTTAGTACGCCAAATATCGACATCAGTTTGGAGACATTTGCGAAAATCATAATCACATAATCCAAGGCTATATAGGGGATTGGTAGCTTTGAAAAAGTGCAATCCACGGCCGATTTTTATAATGTAGCCGTTACTGAGGCTGCAAATGAAACAAGAAGAAAAAATGCACATCGATGTAATACATGTTTTATGTTTTTAAATGTTTTAAGCACACTTACACAATTTTGCGGTCATGCAAAGTGTCTTCAAATTTTACGCTCAAGGTCACATTGCGTCTGGCCATGTCGGACTTAATCTGTTCCAAGACATTTCTTTGGTTCTCTGGCGCTTTCGGATCTGTTTTTGTCACTAGTCGAACATATTTGATGTGGCGACAATTCTTCACCAATAATTCCAAAAAAGTCACAAGGTTCTGAAACTTTAAAAAATATTTAGTAAAATAATTTAAATATACTTCAAAATTCAATTTCACTTACATGATACTTCTCTTGTAGATATGGTTCTTCCAGCAGAACCTCTTTAACGTCGGCATTCAGGTAATCTCCAAATAGCGCTTGATAACTGTTACCGGTGGAATTGTCTTCAATGGGTATGTTTGTGACAAGTTCACCACGGATAACATGCTTCTGCACTCGTTCTTTGATTTGTTCAGCACGGTCGATATACTCTTTGATACGTTCATAATAAACTTTCTTTTTGCCCACGTCTTTTTCGTCTATGAATCAACAAATTATACACAAGAATATAGGAAAATACGATTAACCGGTATTTATACATAAATTGCATATTTTGCAAAGTGAAGCAATAAACCGACGCAATCACTTGATTTACTTACCAGCCACAAGATCCATAAGTATTTGTATGCCATCTTGGTAAAGGTTTTGCGCCTCTAAAATTCTGCCCACTTGGTCACATTGCACCGCACGCATAAGTATATCCTTGGCGTTCATTGTTGTCACTGACATTTACTTAAACCAATTTTATGAAGGACAAAACTTTTTCCTCCTTTACCGAGTATTTGTTTTTAATTTTTAAAATTGCCGACTAATGTATTTGACTCTGGGATTCTATGAAAACAGTAACACATACAATTTAACACTAAAACGAAACCAAAAACACTAAACAATTTTGCAAAAATAAAGCCGGACTATTTCAATCAATAAAATATTAAGGCAAACAAAAATTTTTTGATACGATACTGACAAACAAAATTTTCTTTTCTCCACTTATCACTGTTTGATGCCTATAGTTTTGCTTTTCACAACAGAAAAATTTGTCAACTTGACATTTTTGATAAACAAAGAGAGAACAGCTGACTTCAGCGTCTGCTAGAGCTACGGCATGTTGCCAGATGTTTTGTAATACTTACAATTTTAGGTACTTAAAATTGACTGCTAGCAAGTATACGAGGTGATTATTTTCGAAGACTTTGTTAAAATGTGCGTGTGTTAATATGAATAAAAATGTATGAACGCCTTTTTTACACATTGAAATTTTTAACCCTTAAAATCTTTAACAGTAAATACTGATGTATCCAACAATAAAAACGATGTTTGAGAATATAATATATCTCTGCAATATTAATTAATTAATAAATATAATATACAAGCATGGCGGACTTATCCTTCTATTGTCCGATTCACAAGCTAATTCCGTTGTCCGATATTGTCTTAAAAGTAAGTGTAATACTAGTAAGTGGTAAACTCCTTGGGACAAAAGTTAAATCGAAAACGAACAGTATCGAGCCGCTGATAGCGATTTCGGGCATAAACACTGAACGAACACACACCAAAGTTAATGATTATAATAAACAATAAGATATGATTTATATCATCGAAAAAATTAAATCTTGAAATCGGCACAAATCCATGAATAAATATCTTAAGGTAGGTTACAGTTAAAGTTGTTATCAGTTTTTATTGAACCGCGTTGGCTGAGGAAAGAGACGGTAAAATTTGCAAGAGAGGAGGATAGTTTTGAAAGAGAGCTAAATATGAATTGAAATGCTACTGATTGAATTCGTGTGTAAGTCGAAGAGAAATAACATTTATTCCATAAAAAATCCACCGAAATATTGTTGATCGAAATATGGTAACTACTAAATTAAGTACCCTACTGCATACTTTTAGGCATGAAGAAGTATCATAGCTGTACACACATATACACCTACGCATATCGACTAAAGGGGGAACTAAAATTCCCAAACGTTTGTGGAAGCTCACAGCGATGTGTCCTTCACGATGTTCATCTTGTTGATTGCCTTTGCTGAGACGAACTTTAAGAAAAATATCATCTGAGGGTTATGAGACCCAAAACTCTACTTGGATAATTATTTTTAATGCAGACCGACAGCCGTTGACCACTAATTAGAAACGTTCTCTTCTTGTAAGTGCTTGTTGAGCATAATCGCGAAATTTGGAAATTGTTTAAAGATCGGAGAGAATAATTGCAGGCAAGAAACCGCTTATGACCAAAATCCAAAGAAAATGACGTCTAGACTTCGCTCATTCTCATTGGCCTTGAATCCAAAACCAGTTTCACGCGCACTGAAGCATAGTGGAGCATTAATCATGGCATGGGAATGTTTTCGCTGGAATGATGTTGGACGACTCTATAGGATAAATGGAATTTTAAATCAGAAGAATTCTGTCGACATACTGGAAAATGCCTAGTTGCCTTGGGCTGAGGAGAATTTGCCTTTTATATGGTAATTTCAACAGGATTTCGATCTAAATCAAAAGTGCAAAGTTAACAAAAAAAATTGTTTGACGAAAATTCCAAAAAGATTATTCATTTTAAGATAAGAATCGTCTCTAATTAGCTGTCAACAGCTGTATGCATACTAATCCAGCAAGCAGATTTTGGAACACATACTTCGAGTTTGAGACTGGTATATTTATGAGAGATTAATAAAAAATAGAATGCATTTTTGATAGTCCAGTATGTTCCATACCTCAGTTGACTTTTTGATAAAAATTCCGTTTGTTTTTAGTCGCATGGAAAACCGCAACTGTTTTTCGGCACAAACCACAAGATTATCTGACCTTCAAAAATTGCATATAAAGTCAATCGTTTTATTTGGAGCTGGACAGTTTTTATTTAGATTTTGGTGCATTATTTGATTTCGGTTCTTGTACTGGCGAGCTAAAGCTCTCTTGGGCACACTGACATGGCGGACAAGTATGATCTTTTGCTGCTTCTCGAGCGGCCATATGAGCCTGTTTTCATGGAAAGAGGGAGAAAGACAATATTTGATGTGCCAGAGAAGTTCCTTACCGAACGTTATCGAATGGTTGGCAATGAACTGCTGGAGCGCTTTGGCCAAGAAGCGGGCAGGCGAATAAGTGTGACAGATATAACTCTACCTGATCTTCACATACCAATGCAGCTGCCACGTAAAGCTCAATTCACACTTTGTATACCAGCGCATCGTTTCATGGCGAGACGTCTGATTGATATATTCATGGCCGTGAATACAATCGATGAGTTGCAGAGTGTCGCTGCATACGCGCACGACCGTGTCAATCCCTATCTTTTCAATTATGCGCTTTCTGTGGCAGTCTTACACCGTGAGGATACCAAGGGCGTCGGACTGCTGTCCTTTGTGCAGAGTTTTCCCAACAAGTTTATTGATCGCCAAGTGTTTCGACACTTGCGTGAGGAATGTACTATCGTGCCCGAAGGTTCACGCATGCCGATTGTGATTCCACGCGACTATACCGCCTCAGAACTAGAGCCAGAACATCGTTTGTGGTACTTTCGTGAAGATTTTGGTGTGAATCTGTATCATTGGCAAAGATATCTGGTGTATCCGTTAGAAGCGACTGAACGCCGAGTTGTGTTCAAGGAACGTCGAGGAGAACTTTTCTATTATATGTACGAGCAAATCTTGGCGCGATACAATGTCGAGCGCTTCTGCAATAAATTGCCACGTGTAGAGCCTTTGAACAATTTACGGGAATTTATTAAGGAGGGTTACTTCCCCAAAATGGAATGGCCTCCGCGCTTCGATAACACCAAACTATCCGATGTGAAGCGCTATCAAGATCAATTAATTTTGGATATTGGATGCTTGCAGAGGTGGATGGATCTAATTTATAAAGCCATTTCCGAAGGTTCCGTCATAGATGTGGGTTTCTATACGTAATTGGACAGCGCTAATTCAAGCTTTTAATTACTTTTCTTATGTCCTTTTAGGAAAGTGTCAACCGCATTCCGCTTGATATTGAGGTACTTGGTAACATAATTGAGTCTTCAGAAGCGTCACCGCACCGCAATCTATATGGAGAGCTACACAATATGGGTAATCTATTCATCGCCTATGCCCACGATCCCGAACATCGTCATTTGGAAACGTTCGGTGTCATTGGCGACCTTTCCACGGCAATGCGTGATCCTGCTTTTTATCGTTGGCACGCAAACCTCCAAAATATTTTCCAAGCTTATAAAACTCGTCTGCCACCATATACGACTAAGGAGCTTCACTACGAAGGCGTCTCTCTAACAGGTGTGGAAGTTGCTGTTGAAGACAGTAAAACACCTAATGTTCTAAAAACCCATTGGCAAGTATCTGATATTGATCTGTCGCCCGGTTTGGACTTTGCCCCACGCGGCAACATCTTCGCGCGTTTCACTCACCTCCAACATACTCCATTTACCTACACAATCAATGTGAACAATGAGAGCGAGACTCAGCGTTTTGGTTTGGTGCGCATTTTTCTTGGGCCCAAAGCAGATGAGCGAGGCCAGGACATAGATTTAAAAGAACAACGTTTGCTAATGATCGAATTGGACAAATTTGCTGTCTCCTGTGAGTAGAAATACCTGTAAACTTTATCTCTTCATGACTTCCTTTGCTTATTTCAGTACAGCCCGGTGAAAATGTCATCCGCCGGCGGTCAAACGAATCAAGTCTTACTCTTCCCATTGAACAGACTTTCCGTGAGCGGGATACAAAACCGGATAGTACTCAGAAATCGGAGTATAATGTTTGTGCTTGCGGTTGGCCACATCACATGCTGATACCCAAAGGTCTACCAGACGGTTTGCGCTGTGAACTTTTTGTCATAATTTCCAACTACGACAAAGACGTGGTAAGTACCTGATTTCCATGGTATTCTACGTATTTCACTCTACGCCTTGGTATAGGTTGGAAAAAATTCCAAGGGCGATTGCAATGACAGCGCCGCTCACTGTAACTTACGCGAGCAATTATTTCCGGATAATCGTGCTTTGGGTTTTCCGTTCGACCGGTTGACCAGACTGGGTGTTGAGCATCTACGCGACTTTCTCACCCCAAATATGAGTCTTATTGAAGTTATTGTACAGCATGAAGACCGGACAGATCACTGTTGTTAGTGGACTTGCAAGCGCAAATTTTGTCATCTCGTTTTTTATAATTATATTTGAATAAAAAAACCCATAGATTCTTTTACATGGTTTTTATAGGAATATAAAGCGAGAAGGATAGGGGCTCATCCGGATCTCAGTCTTTTCAGTCGACTCAACATTCTAACATTCCCAGCTTAGAAAGTCATCGGGAATATCATCTAGCCATGCATGTGTCTGTGGGAAGATCTTTATTACATTAGGAAGGCACTCCATATATTACTACATACGAGAATTGGACTATGTGTTACTTTTCATCAGTTACTAGTATTCAGATTTTGGAAGATGTCTAAAATGTTACTCTCCAAATGGTTTGAATTTTAGTGAAAGGATTGGATTATATATGGCTTAGTGCGATGAGCTCGTCACATATCGCCGGTTTCGCCGGAATGTCACATTGCGAACAGCAAAATTAGCAAAATGAGTTTAGCGTAGTTTGCTTTAGCTCATCAACCCCTCCTTAGAACACCTAATATAATCTAATTTTACGAAGGATGTGGTGTTCATTTCGTATCTTATATAGGAATAAGCGCTAACCAGTAGAAAGAGAAGTGGGAGTGATGAATTGGAGAGACACCCAACATTCAGTTTCTTCTTGCGAAAATTTCGAAAAATTTTGCGTGAAACTGCGGAGGGTAAAATAGCAATATTTGGTTCAATAAATTTACATAATCGGTGGCATGCATTGAAATACGACCACCGTTTGAGTGAATATGAGAAACTCTCTTCATTGGACAAAGGACAATTCAATTATCCGCATGCGAAGGGCTCAACGCACCAAAGAAGCAAGCGTAAACGCTTAACAATAACAGGGTGTCTAGATGTCGCACTTTAAAGGGATTAGTGATGTTCAATTTCGGTTCATGCGTTGGGAAACTCAATTGGCGACATTACACTTTTGGCCAAGAAAAAAATAATAAAAGTGAGAAAAGTGAAGACCAATTGGCTGTGAGTGAGCTCGTGAAGATTGAGGAAAAGAGTTCAACGAGGCAGACGTTTGGGTTTGGACATGTGTGCCACACCGCAGATAGCTTAATAAGTTAATAACATAAAACGGATTTCAAATATATATTTCCTTCTAAATATGATTGCTACTGAGAAGAGCGACGTGCGAGTGCAAGAGCTGGGGATGTGAGTTTATTTTTTAGCTAAATAAATTCACTTGTGTGTGAATTCAAATTACTTAATTTGGTAGGCAGAAAATTACATTTGGAGCTTGGTTAGCCAGCTACCAGTGGATGGCACTCTTAAGTGGCAAGCGATTGTAATAAGAATTTATTAAATTGCTGTTAAAATGTTCGAAAATTAAAGTATCTGAGAGGATTATTGTAGGATATTGTGGTAGAGAATCCGTCCACTGTCCTGATAACTTCGATAGCAACACTTGTTAGTGTATGCAACTGAAATCTCTCTACAAACAGACATAAAAAGGACTCAGCACTTAGAACTCTCAGAAGAATGGTGGCGGATGAATAGCAAATAAAAAATAAGCAAGGCAGTAGCTGTTGAAGACAGGAAATATAATACTTGCTACCGGAATATCTTAGACTAGAACTTGAAAGCCCCTTTGCTTTCATCGAATTGAAAGATGATTCACTAATGCTAAATTCCAAAATGGTGCAGCACCATTCTGATAGATGATCTACCGAAGATAGCCGACGTTAAAACCATGGATCTAACGAAGCTTAACGGCTAAGTGTAATCAAAGCGATAAATTAGTAGCCACCATAACCTGACTTTACCACTTAATACGGGTTTCTATTATAATTTATAAGCTTTGGAATGAAAGAAAAATAAAGAAATCTTTTCTACATAATAGCCAAAGTAAGTTTCTACGATCAGTGACTTAGGATGTTTGCTGATCCGCCATTCAGCATTTTATATATTATATAATATGTAGTTATAGAAAATAGGATGCCAGATAAGGGGCGCAAGAAGCATCAAATAAAATAAGGAAATCGGATTCCTAAATACAGGAACTTGAATGGACCAAGAGTCTAGATGTGTGAAATCGATGTCTGCTTAGGTAGAAGATCAATCCGTCCTTGAACTTGATTACTTATAACAACTTCACTTGTTTTTCCATATCATTGAACGATTTTCATTAGAAGCTTTTAATTGCCGTCGCCCCGCGGCCGGTAATGTTAACCCCTCCGACTGTGTTTCTGACTGATATAAAAGAGCACCAATCGGGGGCGTCTGGAAATATCAAGACGCGCATCACAAACTGAAGGAGGAGTTCGGCCGATTAATTCCATGATGTATATACGGGAATGCATAGTGTTATTTTTGAACAAAGCCTGGCTCTGGACTCGGTCCTACGTGAATTGAGTAAAATTTCATTCTGAATTAATTCTGATTAATTCGTTACATGTTTATAAATATGTACGCACATGTAAGTCCATTAAAAGTCGCTGCTAATCAAATCCACTACCCCATTGACTTTTTAACCCCAATGTGTATGTGTGTGTGTGTGTTATATGAATGAGAGTAGTGGGGACTCTTGTCAATGTATGAATGCATCCCAACATTGGATATAATGTATTTTGTACGAATGGAGTCTTGTAATTTTTTTTTATTTTATTTATTTTTTACTTTAATGTGTATTTTTGTGCCTAACGGCGTTATTTTTTAAGGGCTTGTTGCTATTATTCGTGTTTCGTAAACAACTGACGCCACTTGACTCCATAAATATATACGTACGAGTATATGGATTCAAGTGCGCGTGTGTGATATATGTAAATACATATGTATACATACATATGTATGTATATGAATAAACGAACAGTTGTTATTGCCCTTTTCACCGAATTTATTTAATGTATTTATCGGCTTAGGACTTGAATTATAGCCCCAGCGATATTTTTTATTACAACCCACGTACACACACATGCATCCACGCCATGGACTGATGAGTTTGCCATAGACGAACCAGAGAGTGTGTGTGTGTGTGCGTCATTTCTTCAAGCGCCTATAAATAGTCCCAATTGCATTGAAATAAATATCGCAGGGCTACAACAACACAACGCAAATAAAGTGGGGAAGATTTTTTGATATTTTCTATACTTTCGAATGAAATGCTTCTACATATGTGCATGTGTGTGTAGCTTAAGACCATGACGATTCCCTTGAGGATGTGTTCGCCTGTGTGTGTGAGTTTTGATGCGTCTGTGTAAATATGTATGTAATCACATGTGGTTATCTAATAAAAAAAAAGACCGCAAAAACAAACTTAATTGCAATTTTGCTATTTGCCAAGTGCTTACAAGTTAATATTTATGTACATAGAATCATATATATGAACGGTGCTCTGTATGCTTTTCGTACCTTGTCTTATTGACGTTTTTCGTAAGCGAGAACTCCATCTGTGTGTGAGTAACTGCTTCCTCCGCTTGTTTACTGTTGGAAATTCGATATTTTTCCAGCAGAAAATTGTTTTGTTGGGGAAAAAGAAATCATAGAAGCTCAAATTTTAGCAAATCCTTTTGTTACAACCATCTAAGTGGTTCTTTATTCATTGAAACCCCGACATTGTAATAGAGATGTAAATTGCTTAATGCAATTGTGTGCGTGTTTTCCTTATCGAAATGTTTTTTTTGTTACTTTGAGAACGATGGAAGCTTCACTATGCAGACCACCCTTTAAACTATACAGAAGAAATTGAGAGGAATGGGATGAAATAATTTTCGTAAATCTACCCTTACAGATAATGCCCCAAAGACGGACAATCCTGGTTCGAACAAACTTCTAAAATTTCATTTTCTAATTGTGGTCGTGCCCCGCCGTTAGGAAGTATCTATTATGCATATATATTTTCGATCTACGATAGGACGGTATAACTTAACTGCAATAGTTCTTTGACCAAATATACATTGAGGTATTCTTAGAGATCTTAATTAAAACTCTCCCTCTCCCTCTCCCTCTCGACCAAATAGTGGCTAAAAACTCAGAGCATTTGATTTCGAATTTCTCTTAACTTTGGAACGCACCTGCCGTAAGCTAACCTCAGATAAGCACAAACATTCATATACACGTATGTATGTATGGGTGGGAATGTGTGCATAGTGAAATGTACACAACGCACCATTACAAGTATTGAGTGCAATAAGTTTAACCCATTTGTGCAACCAATACTGTGGTAATTCATAGCAGCAACAGCTGCTACTGCCACCACACTGCAACAACAATGCCTGGAATGACATTGACGCTGACGTCAACGCTGCCGACAGCAACAGTGCAAAGTCAATATTTGCACAACAATTTAAGAGAGAGAGAACGAGAAAAGGACCTTTCGCTTCCCAAGGGGGGTCGTCAAAGCGGTTGAGGGCAGAGAAATATTTAAAGTCTTTGCCATCGTCACTGCTTTTGATTGGACAGAGAAAGTTGCAGGCGAACTTTTTGCATCGAGTCAACATATAAATTTGTTGAAATAACAACAAGAGTTACGAATACTCAAACACAATGGAAAATATTTGGGACACAATGCACTGCAGCAATGTTGATCATCGTACTTGTTCCACAAGTCAACAACAACAATGCGTTTAAACAAAAACAACAGCAGTAATGAGTGTATAGTGGCACAATGTGTGAAACGAAGTTAGTTTTGTGGTGGAAATCCATTGGAATGCCGCAAAAGATGCCACAACAGCAACAAAATACATAGTAAAAGTAGTAATCAACACGAAAGTAAGACGAAACGCGCAGGAAATATACAGTGCGGCGCGAAAGTTGTGCGAATGTGAGAAGAAACTAATATTAGCTGTTGGAAGAACATATGCATGCAAGACATGCGGTTAAAGGAGGTTGCACTAAGACCCCAATTACTTGAAAATATAATCTAGGGCTCGAGTTGTTGGTACAAAAATTGCATGGTACTATTCTGACCTCCGCGGGTATGTTATGAGAAGGCAGAGAGCTCGTTAAACTCAGTTTTGCTGGATTGATTTCTTTTCAGGCCGCCGAGCTTTGAA